CATCTAAATTTAGTTGAATTTCCCTACTGTCTTGTAATCATGAAAAACTATATATGGAGTCCCTATGATTACTGTACTTACCTATGGGGTAGTACTGCTCTTATATTTCCATCAGTTCTATCAATCTTCATGTCCTAAGCCTTAATACATTTTTTTATCAAGAAATCCAGTAATTTCCTAGCGTCCTTACAGTAGATATGGTTGTTTGCTTAAGCCATAGCATTGCTTCCTTTTACTTACAACTCTGATTTTGATTAGATATCAACCTTCCCACAGGTAGCTTGGATATCCATAGGCTGTGGATGACACATTGGAAACCAATAATGTGCCATTCGTCAAACATTCAGGTTAAGCTGTCATTCTACTTGTCAGTGATCTTTTTTTTTTTTTTTTTTTCAGGAATAGAAATGCAGTGAAATTCAGATCACAGAGAATCATAAAGAAATTTGCTTTTGGAAAAATCATTTCTCTGTAATTAGCAATGATTTCCAGAAACATTTCTTCTTCTATCACTGATGTGAAGGAAAATGCAGGTAATCATGATCATTCTTGGCAGTAATTCTACAAGTATGTACAGAACCAATTTTAGGGTGGCATCAATACTGTGGCCAGGAGAGCTGAGAGATAGTAAAACTTGAGCCTTTATAATACTAATGAGCTCCTAAATTGATAAATTCTGAAGATTGTCTTTCTCCTAGACTTCTTCTGTATCAGCCTATTCATAGCAATCATATTTAAGCTGTTTGAATCAGAGTTCCTTGAGTCAGCATCATAAATGAATAAAATATTTGTGTTAGAAATGGAAATCTGAAAGTAACATTCTAAAATATGGAATTGAGTAAAATTGATACAAGGCAATAAGGATAATATTTTTCTGTCACAGGAATCTTAAAATACTAGTTATTCTACAGAAAAGTTCTGTTTAACTATTGCCTATTGTATATTGAGATGTATCAACTTTTGATGATGGCTGAGTCATCATGAATCCTAGTAGGAAATATTTATGAGATTGAACTAGGTTGAATCTTTTCTTTGGCATTACATAACACCTTAAAATATGAGAAAACTTTTGTCTGCAAGTGACTCATATGAAATCTGAGTGAGAAAAATATGTCTCTGCTAAGAGAGGTCATCTTCACTTACGGATTATAATCAAAACAATTGGAAGTTTAGTAATCAGGGGCCTGGATGATTTAGAAAAGCTAAGGCTTGTAAGAACGGTACTCTAAACGTTTGGGAATTTGAGAGAAAATAAGATTAGAACAAAACACTTGTCCCCCCAAACCTCTTCCAAGCACCTCCTGTAAAGCATTGTGTGACTGATGAAGGGCACAGTCTGATTATTGTGAAGATACAGCTGTCTAAAGCAGCGATATTCATGCCAGAGGCAGTTGGTTAAATCACCTGGTAACTGAGACCAAGAGGAAAGGAAAGTGTTACATTAAGGTCTCATGGCACAGACAGAGCACAGAGCTTGTTATCATAAACCAGAAACTTCCAGATTCATAGGCCCAAATAATTGCTGATTGTGTATTAGTAGTCATGCAGTTAATTGAAAACAAGTAGACTGTATAACTAGTTTTAAAAGAAATGTATACCAAAGTGACGCCAAGCCTGGTTAGAGTATATGATTGCTAAACCTTCTAAAGTAAACACTAGTCCCAAGAATTTTCACCTACAGAAAGTACGTTGCTAAAGTGGTGCAGACCCAGAAAAGAAATTTTACACTGTCCACTCTAAGGTCACAGAGACAACAGACATGGCTATACTCTGAGAGAGGAGAATAAAAGCTCTCTGATTCACAAGCTATGAAAATCACTTCACTGACAGAACAGGAAGTTTTTGTATCCCTGTCCAACAAGTAAAGTATATTATAGACAACTGCATATTTTCCCATTGTCCACCTTTACAAAAGGGAGTTTTTTATTGTAATTATCATGCTTTTTTACCACTTTGTGTACAGTTAAGGAAGATAAATCACTTTATCACTGGACCATTGGGAGCCATGTCAGAGGACTGGACGCTACCCAGAGATCTTGTACTTCAGAATAAATGCAGTAATTGACTTTGGATTTTCTCCCTTTGGGAAGGAATTAAGACATATTTCAAGTGGGCATGAATTTTTTTTTAATGTATTGTAGAATGTGTGGAATGAAAATATGTATGTGGAATAAGTTCTTGGATAGCCAAAGAGCTTGTAATATTGGATTTTAACTGTTCCTTATCCATTTATATTCCATATGCCCCCTTCATTTCCCTACTAGAAACTGAATTCATTTTCCCCAAATATCCAGTTCATCCCATGAAGCTTATATAAGTTAGTAGAGACTGAGTGGGCTCTGTTTAGTCTGAACCAATCACAATATTTATCTTTACACCTCTCAGTGATTGGTTGGAAAATAGACATGGAATTTACTGAGAATTAAAAGAATTGGGAAGTCAGCTAAGGGCTTCTGGGAAAGTTCTTCTTTGCTCTTCAGTCAGAAACAGGAATAAGCCTCTAAAACTGATTGCTACTGGCAGTCACCTTGTAACCCTGAGGGCAACCAGTCTTAGCATAAAGCCAAGCTGAGGACAAAAGAGATAAAAGACAGATAAAACCAATGACTCTGATGACCTCATTAAGTCATGTATTCAGTGAGCTTAGAAATCTGCTCCAACTTCCAGTTTTATGAGACAATAGATGATCTCATTGTTTTAGCAAGTTTATAAAAAATTCCTATTAAATAATCCAAAAGCATTCTAAATAATATAATATTCCCCATCTATTCCTTCTGGAAAACCTAGAGGGTGCTTGTGAAGAGATTCTATATAGGACAGTTTTCCAGGGGTAGCCACAGTAATTCCATACATCAAGCATCTCTGTGGCCTAGTTTTACAGAAAACTAAGTGCTTTTTACTCCATCTGTCCTCTTTTATGATAACCCCCTGTAAGACAGAATGGTCTATATATGTCTGTACTCCATTTCTGGACTATTCAGGTACTTAGCCATGTGACTTCAGGTTTCCTTGAAGAGCAAAAAATTACACTGGGTATTTATTTCAGTGTCTGGACAGCTCATGATAAGAATATTCTATTTCATTTTAGTTTTGTCAATAGGGAGGGTTGTGTGCCTAGAGGAAAATGATAACCAAAACAGTATAATGTTTTCTCATGCTTGAGAATACTAATGCTGTTAAATATTTCTTCTGAAACACTATGTGTAATGAATGACTGGAATTCAATCCTAGGTGTAAACTTTAATTTACTCCATCTTTCCCCAATTTTTATACTTACATATTTTATTGTCCTTTGCTTTTGTAAGTAATGCCTCTATAAGTATTTTTATACAAAATCAGTATTATTCAATAGAAGTATTTTTGAATTCCTATCTTGAGCAAGATGCTTATGTATTTCAAATTTAGTACTAGGTGTTCATTAGGAAATTTGATTCTTGTTATCATGGAGCTTACAAAGTACTGAGGAGAGAGATGTGAAATAAAAATCTCACAATAACATATTTTTCCGTGATGAATACTATCCAAAAAATGTATAGTATTTTATGAGACTAAGGGTGAAAGAACAAACGTGTTTTCCATTAAGAAAAAATCTGAGAGAGACCTTCAAGATTGCAGAGGAGTAACACGTGAAGATCACCTTCCTCCCCACAAATACATCAAAAGTACTTCTACATGTGGAACAACTCCTAAGAACACCTACTGAACGCTGGCAGAAGACCTCAGACTTCCCAAAAGGCAAGAAAATCCCCATGTACCTGGGGAGGGCAAAGAAAAAACAGAGACAAAAGAATAGGAACGGGACCTGCACCTCTGGGAGGGAGCTGTGAAGGAGCAAAAGTTTCCACACACTAGGAAGCCATCTCACTGACGGAGACGGGGGTGGGGTGTGTGTGTGGGGGAAGCTTCAGAGCCACGGAGGAGAGCGCAGCAATGGGTGCAGAGAGCAAAGCGGAGAGATTCCTGCAAAGAGGCTCAGTGCTGACCAGCACTCACCAGCCTGAGACGCTTTGCTCACCCGCCGGGGGGCTGGGGACTGGGAGCTGAGGATCAGGCTTCCGAGGTCAGATCCCAGGGAGAGGACTGGGGTTGGCAGCGTGAAGACAGCATGAAGGGGTTGGTGCACCACAGCTAGCCGGGAGGGAGTCCAGGAAAAAGTCTGGACCTGCCTAAGAGGCCAGAAACCGTTGTTTCGGGATGCACAAGGAGAGGCGCTTCCTGCTCTGTGTGCCCACAGACGGCAGAGCACAGCCTAAGCAAGCTCCAGAGATGGGCATGAGCTGCAGCTATCATCTCAGACCCCAGAGTCAGGCACGGACCACTAATGCTGCCGCCGCTGCCACCAAAAATCCTGTGTGCAAGCACAGGACACTACCACACTCCCTCAGGAGACTGTGTAGCCCGCCACTGCCAGTGTCCCATGATCCAGGGACAACTTCTCCAGGAGAACACAAGGCATGCCTCAGGCTGTTGCAATGTCACGTAAGCTTCTCCCCCTGCAGGTTCACCCCGCATTCCAATTATGACTATCATACCTTTCCTCCTCTCCGACCTGAGTGATCAAGAGAGCCCTAATAAGCTGCTACTTTAATCCTTTCCTGTCTGGGCGGGGAACAGATGCCTGAGGGTGGCCTACACACAGAGGCAGGGCCAAAACCAAAGCTGAACCCCAGAAGCTATGCGAGCAGAGGTTAGAAAGGGAAATTTCTCCATGCATCCTCAGGAGCAGCGGATTAAATCCCTGCAATCGACCTGATAAACCCTGCATCTGTGGAATACCTGAATAGACAATGAATGTTGCCAAAATTGAGGTGGTGGACTTTGGGAGCAACTGTAGATTTGGGGTTTGCTTTCTGCATCTGATTTGTTTTTGGTTTTATGTTTAACTTAGTTTAATTTTTAGTGTTTGTTTTCATTGGTGGATTTGTTTATGGGTTTGGTTGCTCTCTCTTTTGTTTTTTTTTTAATGAGTGTGTGTGTGTGTGTGTGTGTGTGTGTGTGTGTGTATGTTTCTTTGTGTGATTTTGTCTGTTTAGGTTTACTTTTACCCAGGGTTCTGTCTGTTCACTTTTCTGTTACTTTTGTTTTTTTGTTTGCTTGTTTGTCTTCTCTTTTAATGAGTGTGTGTGTCTGTATGTTTCTTTGATTTTATCTGTTTAGTTTTGCTTTTACCATTCGTTTTGGGGTTCTATCTGTTTGTTTGGTTTTTTTCTTCCTTTTCTTTCAAGGCATGCGGATGGCAGGGTCTTGGTGATACAGCCAGGTGTTGGGCCTGGGCTTCTGAGGAGGGACAGCCGAATCCAGGACATTGGAAAACGAGAGACCTCCCAGCCCCATGTAGTATTAATTGACGAGAGCTCTCCCAGAGATCTCCATCTCAACACTAAGACCTAACTCCACCCAATGGCCAGCAAGCTCCAGTGCTGGATGCCCCATGCCAAACAACTAGCAAGACAGGAACACAACCCCACTCATTAACAGAGAGGCTGCCTAAAGTCATACTAAGTTCATTGACACCACAAAACACACCACTGGACGGAGCCCTGCCCACCAGAAGGACAAGATCCAGCCCCATCCACCAAAACACAGGCTCCAGTCCCCTCCACCAGGAAGCCTACACAGCCACTGAACCACCCTCACCCACTGGAGATAAACACAAAAATAGCAGGAATGACGAACCTGCAGCCTGCGCAAAGGAGACCCCAAACAGAGTAACTTAAACAAAACGAGAAGACAGAGAAATATGTAGCAGATGAAGAAGCAAGGTAAAAACCCACCAGACCAAACAAATGAAAGGGAAATAGGCAGTCTACCTGAAAAAGTATTCAAAGTAATGATAGTAAAGATCCAAAATCTCGGAAATAGAATGGAGAAAATACAAGAAACGTTTAACAAGGACCTAGAAGAACTAAAGAGCAAACAAACGATGAGGAACAACAAAAGAAATGAAATTTAAAATTCTCTACAAGGAATCAATAGCAGAATAACTGAGGCAGAGGAATGGATAAGTGACCTGGAACATAGAATGGTGGAAATAACTGCCACAGAGCAGAATAAAGAGAAAAGAATGAAAAGAATTGAAGACAGTCTCAGAGACCTCTGGGACAACATTAAACACACCAACATTCAAATTACCGTGGTCCCAGAAGAAGGAGAGAAAAAGAAAGTGTCTGAGAAAATATATGACGAGATTACAGCTGAAAATTTCCCTGACATGTGAAAGGAAATAATCAAGTCCAGGAAGCACAGAGAATCCCATACAGGATAAATTCAAGGAAAAACATGTCAAGACACATATTAATCAAACTATCAAAAATTAAATACAAAGAAAAAATATTAAAATCAGCAAAAGAAAAGCAAGAAATAACATAGAAGGGAATGCCCATAAGGTTAACAGCTGATCTTCCAGCAGAAACACTGCAAGGCAGAAATGAGTGACAGGACATATTTAAAGTGCTGAAAGGGAAAAACCTACAACCAAGATTCCTCTACCCAGCAAGGATCTCATTCAGATTCGACAGAGAAATTAAAAGCTTTACAGACAAGCAAAAGTTAAGAAATTCAGCATTACCAAACCAGCTTTACAAGAAATGCTAAAGGAACTTCTATAGGCAGGAAACACAAGAAAAGGAAAAGACCTGCAATAACAAACCCAAAACAATTAAGAAAATGGTAATAGGAACATACATATCAATAATTACCTTAAATGTAAATGGACTAAATGCTCCAACCAAAAGACACAGACTGTCTGAATGGATACAAAAACAAGACCAATATATGTGCTGTCTATAAGAGACCCACTTCAGACCTAGGGACACATACAGACTGAAAGTGAGGGGATGGAAAAAGATACATCATGCAAACAGAAATCAAAACAAAGCTGGAGTAGCAATTCTTAAATCAGATAAAATAGACTTTAAAATAAAGACTATCAAGGGATCAATCCAAGAAGAAGATATAACAATTGTAAATATTTATGCACCCAACATAGGAGCACCTCAATACATAAGGCAAATGCTAACAGCCATAAAATGGGAAATCGACAGTAACACAGGAATAGTAGGGGACTTTAACACCCTACTTTCACCAATGGACAGATCATCCAAAATGAAAATAAATAAGGAAACACAAGCTTTAAATAACAAAGTAGACCAGATACACTTAATTGATATTTATAAGACATTCCAACCAAAAACAACAGAATACACTTTCCTCTGAAGTGCACATGGAACACTCTCCAGGATAGATCATACCTTGGGTCACAAATCAAGCCTTGGTAAATTTAAGAAAATTGAAATTGTATCAGGTATCTTTCCTTATCACAACACTATGAGACTAGATATCAACTACAGGAAAAAAATCTGTAAAAATACAAATGCATGGAAGCTAAATTATACGCTACTAAATAACCAAGAAATCACTAAAGAGCTCAAAGAGGAAATAAAAAAATACCTAGAGACAAATGAAAATGAAAACATAATGGCCAAAAACCTATGGGATGCAACAAAATCAATTCTAAGAGGGAAGTTTATAACAATACAATCCTACCTTAAGAAACAAGAAAAATCCAAACAACCTAACCTTACACCGAAAGCAATTAGAGAAAGAGGAAAAAAAAAAAAAAAACCCAAAATTAGCAGAAGGAAATAAATCATAAAGATCAGATAAGAAAGAAGTGAAAAAGAAATGAAGGAATCAATAGCAAAGATCAATAAAACTAGAAGCTGGTTGTTTGAGAAGATAAACAAAATTGATAAACTATTAGCCAGACTCATCAGGAAAAAAAGGGAGAAGACTCAAATCTACAGAATTAGAAATGAAAAAGGAAAAATAACAACTGACACTGCAGAAACACAAAGGATCATGTGAGACTACTACAAGCAACTCTATGCCAATAAAATGGACAACCTGGAAGAAATGGACAAAATTCTTAGAAAAGTACAACCTTCCAAGACTGAACCAGGAAGATATAGAAAATATGAACAGACCAATCACAAGCTCTGAAATTGAAACTGTGATTAAAAATCCTCCAACAAACAAAAGCCCAGGACCAAACACATATCAAACACATATCCCTCTCAAACGTTTCCAAAATATAGCAGAGGGAGAAGCACTCCCAAACTCATTCTACGAGGCCACCATCAGCCTGCTACCAAAACGAGAAAAGATGTCACAAAAAAACAAAATTACGTGCCAATATCACTGATGAACATAGACGCAAAAATATTCAACAAAATTCTAGCAAACAGAACCCAACAGCACATTAAAAGGATCATGTAGCATGATCAGGTGGGGTTTATCCCAGGAATGCAAGGATTCTTCAATATATGCAAATCACTCAATGTGATGCATCATATTAACAAATTGAAGCATAAAAACCATATGATAATCTCAATAGATGCAGAAAAAGCTTTTGACAAAATTCAACACCCATTTATGATAAAAACTTTCTAGAAAGTGGCCATAGAGGCAACCTACCTCAACATAATAAAGACCGTATATGACAAACCCACAGCCAACATCATCCTCAATGGTGAGAAACTGAAACCATTTCCTCTAAAATCAGGAACAAGACAAGGTTGCCCACTCTCACCACTGTTATTCAACATAGTTTTGGAAGTTTTAGCCACAGCAATCAGAAAAGAAAAAGAAATAAAAGGAATCCAAATTGGAAAAGAAGAAGTAAAGCTGTCACTGTTTGCAGATGACATGATACTATACATAGAGAATCCTAAAGATGCTACCAGAAAACTACTAGAGCTAATCAATGAATTTGGTAAAGTAGCAGGTACAAAATTAATACAAAGAAATCTCTTGCATTCCTATACACTAATGATGAAAAATCTGAAAGAGAAATTAAGGAAACACTCCCATTTACCATTGCAACAAAAAGAATAAAATACCTAGGAATAAGCCTACCTAAGGAGACAAAAGACCTGTTTGCAGAAAACTGTAAGACACTGATGAAAGAAATTAAAGATGATACAAACACATGGAGAGATATACCATGTTCTTGGATTGGAAGAATCAACATTGTGAAAATGACTCTACTACCCAAAATAATCTACAGATTCAATGCAATCCCTATGAAACTACCAATGACATTTTTCACAGAAGTAGAAACAAAAATTTTACAATTTATATGGAAACACAAAAACCCTGAATAGCCAAAGCAATCTTGAGAAAGAAAAACAGAGCTGGAGGAATCAGGCTTCCTGACTTCAGACTATACTACAAAGCTACAGTAATCAAGACATTATGATACTGGCACAAAAACAGAAATATAGATCAATGGAACAGGATAGAAAGCCCAGAGATAAACCCACACACATATGGTCACCTTATCTTTGATAAGGGAGGCAGGAATGTACAGTGGACAAAGGACAGCCTCTTCAATAAGTGGTGCTGGGAAAACTGGACAGCTACATGTAAAAGAATGAAATTAGAACACTTCTTATCACCATACACAAAAATAAACTCAAAATGGATTAAATACCTAAATGTAATTCCAGACACTGTAAAACTCTTAGAGGAAAACATAGGCAGAACACTCTGTGACATAAATCACAGCAAGATCCTTTTGGACCCACCTCCTAGAGAAATAGCAATAAAAACAAATGGGACCCAAATGAAACTTAAGAGCTTTTGCACAGCAAAGGATACCATAAACAAGATGGAAAGTCAACCCTCAGAATGGGAGAAAATATTTGCAATCGAAGCAACTGACAAAGGATTAATCTCCAAAATGTACAATCAGCTAATGCAGCTCTATATCAGAAAAATAAACAACCCAATCCAAAAATGGGTAGAAGACCTAAATAGACATTTCTCCAAAGAAGATATACAGATGGCCAACAAACACATGAAAGGATGTGCAACATCACTAATCATCAGAGAAATGTAAATCAAAACCACAATGAGATATCACCTCACACTCGTCACGATGGCCATCATCAAAAACTCTACAAACAAATCCTGGAGAGGCTGTAGAGAAAAGGGAACCCTTTTGCACTGTTGGTGGGAATGTAAACTGATACAGCCACTATGGAGAACAGTATGGAGGTTCTTTAAAAAACTAAAAATAGAACTACCATATGACCCAGCAATCCCACTACTAGGCATATACCCTGAAAACCCATAATTTAGAAAAAGAGATGTACCACAGTGTTCATTGCAGCACCACTTACAATAGCCAGGACATGGCAGCAACCTAAGATGAATGGATAAAGAAGATGTGGCACATATATACAATGGAATATTACTCAGCCATAAAAAGAAATGAAATTGAGTTATTTGTAGCGAGATGGATCAACTAGATTGTGTCATACAGAGTGAAGTAAGTCAGAAATAGAAAAACAAGTACCATATGCTAACACGTATATAT